TTAATCTTATTTTAGTAAAACTAAGTTCAAGTATATTTCCTTGAGAGATAAAGCTCAATATCTTATGCTCTTCTTCGGAGCCTATTTGACTTGTACAATTAAGCTTGAGGAGTTTTTCATAATCTTGTGATATGGTCAGCTGACTTGGGTTAACTGATCTAAAGCTCACAACATGGGTCATCTTAGTCATTTAATGAAGAAGAGCCTGCACATAAGATGTAAAAATTGAATAGAAAAATGATGAACTTGAAAATATAGATATTGTGTAAAAATATATATGCTCAAAGTCAGGGGGAGAAAGGAATAGTATACATGCAAAATGAGCTTCTTTTATGTGCCCTATATGCTATTTTTTGTTTGACTTTCATATATAGAGGAATAAACTTATTGACAGTTATGGATATCATGTCATTTCTCACAAAATTAAGGTTTGGAGTCTTGCTTACAAAGGATTAGCAACACTTTACACATATAGGCTACTTATACAATTTACTCCATTTTAACATAACTGATTATGTAGAAAGTATACTGATTATTGAATATGCTTGTGCATACTATCAACAAGATCTTTGAGTTATTATGTATTGATGTTCAATTTTATTTGATAAAGTTCCCTTTGTTATTTGTAAGAAAATGAGAGAGAGAGAGAGAGAGAGAGAGAGAGAGAGAGAGATAGATTTGCATTTGCATTTGCATTTGATTGCATTTTTTAGAGAGTTTGCATTATGGGGAAAAGATGATTGTAAGGGGAGAGATAATTGTATTTTTCAATCATGGCATTCCATATCATAATGCATAGTTTCTTTGAGTTTTTGATGTTTGGTGATATTAATGTTTCAGTTGATGTTTTGATTAACATTGCTATTACTTCTCAATCTGGATAGCATATTTATGATAATGTGTTTAAATTGTTATACTTCCTGTATCACGTGTTTTTACATTTGTTATTTGAATTGTCGATTTCAGGAAAACATGTTTAACAAGGAATGCAAAAAATTGACATTCAGTTTGAGTTTGGATAGATTCGTTTGATTCTACTTCCTTGATTTGTATTGTTTAATTTTGACATAAAATGTCAAGGGGGAATTTGTTAGGATTTAATTGTACTGACAATTTTTTAGACAAAAGGACTAATATGAAAATTGATAAAGTCTAGGACTCAATTAAAATATTGTATAAATGAAATAGGTAACCTAGGGTTTGAGTTTGGAACAAAGAGGAAAGAGCAGCCTGATTTCCGCTAGCCTATCACCTATATGATGATGCTTGAACAGAAAAATAGAAATCTTGTCGCCCACCTGTCGCCGAGTTTTTGCTTGAGTGACACACCATCGCTCGACTGTTGCTAGTCTGGCGTTCAAGCAATGGTGTTACATGCAAAACTCTAGTTCGAGTTTTTTAAGAGTTTTAATTAGCTCATACACCTAAATGCCTTTTACTATATATACCCTTGCCTTAACGCAAATTGGGTGGCGGTTGTCATTATAGCTTTTTCCATATCATCATTCATATATTCAAGAACACGTTCAAGCCTTTGATTTATCCATTGATTCTTGAATTCATACAACCACATATTTAGGAAAAACATCAACTTCATATAATCTAAAACATCGACTTTCTATATACATAAAAGAAGGTACTTTCTCAAGAGATTTCAGAGGTAACTAAATATTGAGGGATGTTTGACCAGAAGCACAGGAAGAGTACAAGAACAAAGAATTCTTGGTGATCCATAGGGGATAGACAATTCCAGAAGATCGGGAATAGGTGTGAGTTAAACACGTTGCAGCTGATCTTGGAGATTATAGGAAGTAGATCAGCGAGTTTAGTGGAATTTTCTAGACTAGATCATACCGTGAGTTTATCATTGGCTATAGTGGAAGTTATTGGTTTGGTTTCGGAGTTTTAACCTAGATGGATTTCTCCCTTAACAATTCTTGTGTTATTTATTGCTTTCACATTACAAACTGTAGTAGTTCAACGTAGGATAATTTGATTTGTTCGATTAATTATTTAGAAACAATTAAAAAAGTGACTTATTACTTTTAATGGGTTATTTCAATCTCGTAGTGTTCACCTATTCACCCCTCCTAGATGTTTTAGGCTCGAACTAGTAACTTTCATAAACAATCACAAAAACACAAAACAAAAAAGAATTTACGTGGAAAAAATCATGGGCAAAGGAGGAGAATTCAATATATGATTAAGGAATACAATGATTTTGTGTTTCCAACTGCTTTGTATTACAATGAAAAGCCAACTATATGTAAAGTACAAGTCGAACCCTTATTATAGCCCTTGTTTGAAGGAAAGTTTTAGAGCAAAAAAATAAATAAAAAAAATAAAAAAACAATCAGTTTTTGGATCGTTGGCCACCCATTTGCAGCCATTTTTTTTAACCAACACTCTCAGAGGTAGATCCTAGGTGACCAAAAAAGGGTAAAAAATTTGCGGTTCTTCTTCTTCTTTATTATTATTATTATTATTATTTATTTATTTATTTTTTTTTTTTGTGAAAAAGCTACTCCAAACAGGGGCATAGTGTTTTAGATGGAAAGAGCATTATAAAATTTGTCAAAGCGTGAAATAGCCCATGGGCCAGATAACACCGATGCTTGAGCGGCAAAGCTTACTACGTGCGGCGCTTAAGTTCCCAAGTTCGTGGTAGGCGAGTGGTGGGCTTTATGTTTTGAGCGCTCGGGAAGGAGATGAAAGCCCAACGAGCCAAAATGCGATGACTTCTACTCCTTTGTCCATCTTTAGATTTCTTGAAAGTCTCTTCATTGAAAACTCCAATATTTAAAGAAATTTTGATCATAATTCAACAATTAACGTGTCTAAAAAATAAAAGTAATAATAAATGGGGTGTGGTTCTCGGCCCCACTCTAGCCTGTCTTTAGTGGGGATTGGCATGTAGCCTAAGTTTAAATGTAAAAAAAATTGATAGATACACGTTGAATTGACTTTTTTTACCGCGAATTGATTGAATTGACTACTCATTGATTATTTATGTGCATCTTTATTTGAAAAAATGAATTTCAAGAAGCGATTCCACCTTGATATCTGGTTACTACTACAGTTTTTATTATTATATTGATGAAAATTTAGTTAAATAGGTATACATATTAACTATATTTTAATCTTTAGTTGAAGACCGTAGGTTTTGTACCTTGATTGAATAGTAACATTTAATCATTTATCTTTTCTAGCTTAGACAACTTTAACCATAATGTTTATACTCTGAAAGACAGCAAAACATTGTGATCCCGATGGAGCTCTATTTTTCAGAATGAATTTTGTACGAAGTGATTTTTAGATGAACGTGTAGTTACAAAGTAAACAAAAATTTTGAATTTATGTAAAATAAAAATTTATTACGAGAATATGTAGTTGAAAATAAGTCACTGTTTGATAATTTTTAAAATTTTAAATTGTTTACAACAATATTATTCTTTACTACACATTCACACAATAAAATATTCTACGCACAAACTAATAAAGCCTCCTTACTTTTTAACTATATATTTTTCAAAAAATACTATTTAAAACTGTTTAATTTTCGAATAATGGATGACAAACATGGCCTAATTTTAGTTAGTACAAATTTTACAGTATCTTTAGACCATATTTGGTCCTCATTAAATTAAAATTTATTTTTTGCTCTGTTCTCATCAATCACACATTTTTAATAAAATAATATTACACGTAAATCTAAAAAAAATTTCCTTCCTTTTTTTACCATAGATTCTTAAAAAAATTATTATTCCCTTCATTATAATTTGAAATAATGAAACCCAAACAGGGACTTACATTGTGAATAATCCAACATGATTAATGATACTTGTAAACATGTTTTCCTTAAAGTGGTGCTTACATGTTATATATGTCAATAGAAAATGAGAAAAATATGACCATTAATGACCGAAGAACTAATAAAATAAAGAAAAAGGCCACAAAGTCAGGGCAAAAAACAGGCCTAAATACAGGGGTCCCGTGTGGCGCCCCCCTATCGGAGGGGCGGGGGGGGCACCATAGGCCTGTTTTTGGCCCTGGCCAAAAAGGAGGTCTCTAAATAAAAGAATATTCAAAGGTTGGTGGGCTCGGTGGAAATGGGCGAAAAGTACTAAAAAAAAATTATGTCATGAGTGACGACTATGGACCTTGCAAACCTAACTTATTTTATCGATACTATCTCCTTTTTTTTTTTTTTTTTTTTTTTTTAACAGAATAAATAGAAAAAACAACACACCATTTACTTTTAATTAATGAATAGAATGTTGGGTCCACTAGTTCCATTATCTTTGATTATCTTCACACTTTGACCCCATCCAATCCATTATTCACAATAATTAAGGTTACTTTTTGTTTTTAGCTTTTTCTTTACACCCCTATATTGAAGAGAAGAGAGGAGAAGAAAAGAGAAGAGATTGATGACCAATTAAGTAATTTACAAGAGTATGATAGATAAAATCAATCAATTAATTGTTTTGGTTTGACATCCTAATCTCAATCGCATCCACATCTAATCGATTTTTAAGTTGTTCAGATGCATTACCTTTTTAAGAATTAATTTGTGCTTTGTGATGTTCCACTAATTAATTAGAAATACGTCCGTTCGTATCTGTTTGGTTGGTTGGTCTGTCTCATTCCTAAATCTTATCTTAACTTTCGAAATAAATAATTTTTCGTGTTTAACTTAGTACTTAGCTAGATTGCAATATTATAAAATGGTAAAATGGTAAAGTGGTTTTAAATCGATAAATAATGTAAGTATTTTAGCATGGAAAATAAACTTTATTTAGTTAAAAGCTATGTAATTGACTTCACATTGATTGAGCTAAATTGAGTTTAAACTAAAAAGACATAAGTTATTAATTTAATGGATCATGCATCTTGAGATAATTAATTAATAATTTGATTTAGGTGGGATAAGTACTTATATAGCTGTGAAAAAGATGTCACGCTGCCACCTTACTAAAAAGGTAAGATATTTTCTTTTTCTTATTCAAATTCATAGCAGCTATATATAGATTGCTTCACTCTTCATTCCATAATCTTTTTACATTCCTACAATCGGAACTGAGCTTAACTCCGTCCTAAATTTTCAGTTTCAGACAAACAATTACATAGGAAAAAACATTAAAATTTGCGTAAGAATTTTGTGAATGGAAGGGAAGAGTAGAGTGGCGTGCGATTTTTGCAGTGATCAGGTGGCGGTGCTCTACTGCCGGGCGGATTTAGCTAAGCTGTGTTTGTCATGTGACCACCACGTGCACTCGGCCAACGACCTCTCCAAGAAGCACCTCCGCCAGCAGATCTGTGATAACTGCGGCTCCGAGCCGGTCTGCACCCACTGTGCCACGGACAACCTCGTACTGTGCCAGGACTGTGACTGGGATGCCCATGGAAGCTGTGTAGTGTCCGCCGCCCATGATCGCAGCCCAATTCAGCCCTTCTCCGGCTGCCTGTCGGCTCTTGACCTGGCGGCGGCGTGGGGACTGGAAATTGAAGATAGAAAACTAACTCATCAACTGAGTTCATCAGATAATTATGGGTTGGACACTGGGCTGTTAGAGTCGTGGATTTGTAAAGACGGGGATGTACCCAGTTCGATGATGCTGCAGGAGCTGATGGTGCCTAATGACAATTCTGTATTTTACTCTAATTATTCTGGGGATGGTTTGGTTACAAAGAAGAGGATCCCAACCTGCGGGAAGCAGAAGCAGGTGATTTTGAAGCAGTTAAAGGAATTGTGTAAAAGGGGGTTGTCTGATGACTGCGGCGGAAGTGGCGGTGGCGGTGGTAGGGAGGAGGCGGTGCCTGGGACGCCGAGCGGAAGTGAGAGTTGTGGGTGGCATCATGGGAATGTGAGTTGGCAGCAAAATAGGGATTTTACTTCATTGCTAAAAATGCAGACTGCACCAGAGGATCCAAAAGAGAATTATAGAATGATGGAAGGAAGCATGTGGAATGCTGGCACATCTTCTGATCATGGCGCGCAGGTTTTGTTCTAAAGAATTAGGTTAAATTGTGAATTGGTTTTGCATATGATATTTTGATATGATTTTATGTTTTCTTGAATAATTTGTTACTGCTTTTGGACAAATTTGATCAATGCTTACTATTGGGATGTTATGTATATAAATTGAATAGAAATGATGTCCTGCCCATGGTCGGCACGAGTTATAATGCCGATGTCAGCATATCAAACCCTTTTTCTATTGAAAAGTGATAAAATACCACTCGATTGCCACGTTAGCGGTAGACAATTGTTATTGGACAGGAGTTCAACTCTGATAAATTGGTTTTGAGCCGTTGAAGACGAAATGATGCTAACGGATCGAATGATTTGATGAAGTTAACTTTCTTGGTTCGAAGCATGTTATTATACTATTGATGATAGGCATAATGTTTGTGCAAGTAAATAAGTTTTTGCAGGACATATCTAGTATCTTTTATCTAGACGACGAATTCTTAAATCATGTTCAGATATTAGTAAAATATTTTTTCTCCGATGAAGATTTTGATATGTTCCAGCACTTCTCATACTTTTTTCATTAACTTTTTGAGGGGTGCATATTGCCTAATTTTTGTTAGGATTTTATGATAGTAGTTGATCGATTAATGGCTTAATTCTGCTTCAGATTGATGAAATTAAATAAATTTCTATATTCTATCCTTCCCCAAGAAATTGAACTAGATTCATGTATTTGGATGTACAGATGTGGGATTTTAATTTGGGAAAATTGAGGGTAGAAGAATATATTGCAAGTGACATGGAATGTATGGTGAAAAATTATGGCCAACCGCTTAAACAAGAGGTATGATTTCTTTTAATGCTAGAAGTTCTTTTGTGTAATGCTTCTTCACAGTTCATATCAGTAACAATTTAGTAGATGAAACAGATGCACTCTTTCTCTATGTGAAGACAAAATGAACTTTATGGTCGCATTGCAGTCTAGTTTGATAAGAAAAAGTCTATTTTGATGGCCAAATAATTCATGAATTTTCATGCAAGTTGTAAAAAGTTGGAGCTGAACCAAGATACTAATTTTTTGTGTCCTTTTCAATTGACTGCCCATAATTCTTGAATTATTTTTCCTTACGTCAACTTGACAACTTCTCTTGTTCAAGTTTCATTTTTTATTATTATTAATTTTTTGGAAAAGGTTTCATTTTATATTGAGGAAATTAATGTGGTGGTCCCCAGCTTATGGTAATGTAGCATTTGGGGTCCTCACCCTTTGATTTTTTTCTTTTTCTCGTGGTACCTAACTTTGAAGCATGTAGCACTTGGGTCCCAGTAGACAGTTCATCCATTTGGCCAAAATGTAAAGAAACCGTCCAATAAGGATCCAAATGGTCCCTGGTGAATGGCCTGTGGTCAGAATAGGTAGGCTAATTTTTTCCCTTAAAACCGTACTTGAGAGTTTCCTAACTCACACGGCTCATAAATCATTTGCTACCAGAACTTGAAAATTTGGTAACCACTAGAAATAAAGGTTGGCGTTTTAATTGTCACATTACTAACCTTCGGTTAACTTTCACCTCAATTAATCTTTCATCATGATAATAAAATTATCAAAAATGTCCAATGATGTCAATGTTTATTATTAACAACTTATTTTGTTCATATTTTCATTCAAAAAGAAATTTTATATTCCTATTAAAATAGTCTGAAAAAGAAAAAGTTTTTCGGGTTGATGATATCACTTCAAATTTGGCAAGAAAGAATCTTTCAAAAACCTTGTTTAGTTCAACTTGATGATTCTTTCGTTGTCCAAAAATTTGTTATATGCTGACAATCCATTTTGTTTCCTATATTGCACTCTTTTTATTTTGTGGCGTACGATACAACTTTAAACCTGAAAACTATAACATACTTCATTAAAAATGTAGAACCAGACATTAGGTCGGGGGCCTGCAACATCCGAGAGCAGCAATTTACCAGCATCAAGGCCATCATCTTGTTCTGGATATACTAAACCGAAATCCTATGTTGCGTCAGAGGACATCCATTTTATGGACCACTCTATTTTGGTGAAAAATGATAATGCCACTGCTGCAATAACTAAGGCTGATATGGAGCTTTTGGCCAAGAACAGAGGGAAAGCTATGCAACGTTACAAAGAAAAGAAGAAAACTCGAAGGTACCTATTCCCTCTCATTTTCCTTTCCAACACTTTTCATTTTACGGATGTTATTTTTTTCAATGAATTCGGAGTGTGCCTTTCTGATATGATACATATTTTAAATAGATATGATAAGCACATCCGGTACGAATCAAGAAAAGCAAGAGCTGATACTAGGACTCGAGTAAAGGGTCGGTTTGTCAAGGCCAGTGAAGCACCAAATGTATAATGAGTTGTGAACGGAATGAACATCTATGTTCGTATGTGTATATATCTTACATCACTTTATTTGCAAAATTTTGTGTAGCCACTATGCTTACGCGACTTTTATGTTATCTGATGATTTTATCATATCAATGGACGGGAAGTTGGTCCATAACATTTCTGTTTTCGTGTATTAAATTGATTTGAGCCCTCAATGATTTTTGGAATATGGCTTATCCCAGTTTGGTCACTCCCAATCCAGACAATGGTAGTTTGATAATATTTTTGTAATAGCGTAAAGAATTTTGTCTGCGATTGCTGTGATTTTGAAGGACAAAATGTGAAGTTAGTTGCTTGTCCATGTTGAGTTTGAAAGTGAGTTTTTTAATGAAAGTCAGTCTCTTTAGAGCTTTTCAGGGATTTAGTGTGAGGAATCTTGTGAAATACACTTTGATCATGTGAGTGCTTTTAAAGCTATGTAATGAAAGTCTCACCGCTGGGTATGGACTCCATTCACCACCCATATTTCCTAGCTCTTTTATCTGCTTAACCTTATATTTACTATTCTCATGATTCTTGAAACAAGAACCAAGCCATGAGGGACTTGTCCATTTTTCTCCTAAAGATTTCTCTGGCTGCTAAAATGAGGAAAGGCTTCAGAAACTTCTGCAATGGTGATGCCTCGACTGCAACGCTCGACCAGCAAAAACTTGATCCATACAACTTGGAGAGCAATACTCAGGGGGAAAGACACGCCACCTTAGAGGAGATGATAAAGCAGTTAGATTTGGAAGAGAAAATGGCTAGAAGAGAAAAACTTGATGATGATGATGATGATGATAGGGTAATTCCACATCGGATGTCGTGTGTTAATAGTTCTGATATTCTGCGGACTGCAAGGAACGCATTAAATCAGTACCCTCGGTTTTCTCTTGATGGAAAAGATTCTATGTATCGTTCTTCATTTCAAAACCTGGCTTCTGCATCAAGAAAGTCAATATCCCGGAACCATGGTTCTAACATAGAAGCAGAGAGAACTCGACGTTTGCCTTCTAAGTTGGCAGGGGAACGTGTCATTTGGTGCAAGCCCGGGGCAGTGGCTAAACTTATGGGTTTGGAGGCCATGCCAATACCAGTAAAAAGGCAAAATATCAGGAGAAAAACTGAAAGGCATGAAAATTTTGGCAATGACTTGAGGAGAGAAATTAAGGGTTCCTGCTCAAGAACTGGATATTGTTTTATGAAGCCTGTAGCAGTGGAACTTCCAAATGGCGAATTAGGCTGGCCAATTCAACGTTTTCTCTAGAATAATACATGGTTTCGGAGATGATTATTTTAAATTGTTTAAAAAGAGATTCTATCCAGATGACAATGATGCTGCTTAACTTGAAGTTAATGATTGTTACCTGCAAACTATTACCATATAAATTCTACCCTTTCAAATTATCAGTAAAAAAGTGAATTCCATTCATTGCAGTTAAATAAAAACGCTACTGGGATCTCTTCTTAGTGGCTTTCGACCTAGACTGTTTTTACTCTTATTGAAGTGCATAAAAGTATCGATGTTGGTTAATTTTTCTGCTTTTTCTTCATTAGTTGGAGTTTATGTCGTATATTCTCTCCTAAATTTGTACTTTTGTGTTTATTTTTCCAGTAATAATACATACTCCACTTCACGTGTGCCTGCCCTTGCTTGGAAATTAGGGGTCTTATAGACTGTTTGGAGAGGCTATGATATTCAGTTCAGGATAGGATTGATTAGTCATTGTTTTTCCATAGTTTATGTATTTACTCTTTTTAGTCAAATTACCTCACATTTTAAATGCTATCTACTTTGAAAACTTTGGAGTTCAGCCTACATTTTTACTTATCTTAATTTAATATGCAACTGGCATGAACATCTAGAAACTGTCTTAAGGTCAGCAGCTTCCAATGTAAATTCTACATCATATTGATTAAAAAAATCCAATGCGATCAGATCTTAAGGTCTCTTGTAGCCATTAACTACCAGCATAAATCTACATTCTGCTAGCAAAGATGAGCAAATCAAAGATTGTACAAACCCGCACCATACTTCTCGTAAAGCTTGTGAAAGTACTGCAAATGAGGTCCTTTCTCATTTTCCTCATCATTGCCATTGCCGTTGCCACTGTGGAAAGCAACTCTGAAGGTAGTGATAAAGATTTGTGTCAAAAGTCAGAATCTTTTTCATTTTCAAATCGTGTATAAATCTTTGTTCTTGTGCAGTGGATGCTCTTCATTCCTGGAGGTCTAAACTGACAGATCCGAATAATGTCCTCCAAAGCTGGGATCCGACACTGGAAAATCCCTGCACCTGGTTACATATCACCTGCAATTCAATTAATAGTGTTACAAGAGTGCAAGTATCTATCTCTCCACCTCAAATTCAAAATAATTTTCTTAATCTGCATGACTTGGTTTTATAGTTTTTTGAAAATGCAATTTTGATTTATTGAAGGGACCTTGGCAACGCGGGACTAGAAGGACCTCTCGTGTCTGAGCTTGGAATCTTAGCTAATCTTCAATACTTGTAAGCTCGATGAACCTTCATCCATTAGTGCGTACCAAGTATGGTGCAGTCAATGTATGTTCGTTATTGTGCTCTTTGACAGGCAAGTCCAACGCAATAAGATTGGTGGAAAAATACCGAGAGCTTTAGGAAATTTGACAAAACTGGTGAGCTTGGGTCTAGATCAGAATCGGCTAAGCGGATCGATCCCAGAAACTGTAGGCAACTTACGATTATTAAGATTCTTGTAAGCTAATTATCTCCATATTCCATACTGCAGAAGCCTGAATTTTTGTGCAATTTTACAGATATTTTATTGATATGATTACAGGAGTTTAAACAGTAACAAATTAACTGGGAGAATACCAAATAGTGTCATTGAACTGATCCATTTTGGTCATTTGCAGATCATGTAAATTACCGTCCATTCACCAATTTATGATCCTTGATTATTTAATTAAATTCTTTAACAAAATTTTATTTACTTTATCCCTGAAGAATTGTTCTGAATGTGCCATCAGGAATGTCTCGGACAATCACTTGGCTGGTACTGTTCATCACACAAATAAAGCAGGTAGGTGATACTAATTAGGATCGGACGGGACGGGACATGATAGCTTTAAACTATTTACGAAGAAAAACACGTTAATTTTGTTCGTAATAATGTTTGGTGTAGTTTAATACTACATGTCAAACGTGCCTATCGTGTGTGGGTTCTAATGACAATTAAATTTGTTGTGTTTATTGAAGGATTTGCTACTACTACCATAATTCAAGATGCAAAAGCCTAGAAGAACATGATGCTGAGCTGAGCTGAGCTACTAGATATTATCCATTCTCATACTGTAATAAATTGCCATGATATTTGTGGTGAAATTTTAAAGATTTGCAATAACATTGACCTAAGCTGGTGTATTACGTATCATGTACTCTGCCTTATCTATCGATCAATAAAGTATTTTTGTGACTTATTTAGTCTCCAAAGTTATATAATGTTAGATAACTGGTGACTCCATTAACTTGATAATACCATATCCAATGTGATAGCTGTTAAACATTTATTTGAACTAACGACCTCTAAAACAATCGATTCCTTCTAATTGACCTCCTATTTTAGCATTTTTACTACTTGTTGGACTCGGAGGAATTGTAATGAATGAGATTAATGACACAATATGAAGAAATAAAGATCACAACAAAAACAAAATTAAAAGTAAAGAAGAACAAAGAGAGTTAATCACAAAAGAACGATATATATTAACCGACAATATAAAGAGAAATTACAGACACAGCATAATGTTTAAACAAAATTGACAGAGGAACTTTGTATTTATAGGTCACGTTCCAAACCCTAGAAGAATTCTAAAAGGTAAGAAAATCTGTTGAAATTAGGTTACAATTGCGCATTGAACTTTGACTGAAAGAGGATTTCCTTTTCTTATTTAACTTAGATATAATCTTCCTTTTCATGTGAAAATCAATTACGCAATCTCACAATACTTCTAACCATATTTGAGTCATAAAACCTAACAATCTCTCTATCTGCCCCTCCGTCGACCATCATGAGATACAAGAGCTTTCTCATCCTTTGATATAGTTCCAACCAAATGTTTCAACTTCTTCTTTGAGTGCAAAGCATTATAAACATCGACTATAGTCAAAGTATTCCAATTATACAAAATGGTGTTCCGAAACGACGCATAAGAGTCAGGCAGCGAACACAACAGGATGAAGGTCAGATCATCTTTATCGTACTTAACTTCCAACGTTTCCAGATTTGCAACTATTTTATTGAACATGGTAATATGGTCTTCCAGTAACCCTCATTCCGCTATGCGATGGGAATACAACTTTTGCTTTAAAGTTAGTTTGCTCATAAGACTTTCAGTCATACATAACTGCTCTAGTCTCAACTACAAAGTAGCCGTTGTTTTCTCCTTCAAGATAACTTACAGAATATTGTTGGATAAATGAAGATTGATATACGATAAAATTTTTCAATCTTTTTGTTGTTTCTCCTCCGTTGTCCAATCAGCAGGCATATTCTCAAAATCGAGCATAGCATCGTCCAAATCCAACTGCGCCAAAATAGCCCTCATCTTTACTTGCTACAAAGAAAATATTGTATTGCGATCTAACAGTGGGGTGTTATATTTCATGGTAGCCATATATAAAAAATCTCGACCAATTCACAAAAGAAGAATCAAGCTCTGATACTACTTGTTGGACTCGGAGGGATTTAATGAATGAGATTAATGACACGATATGATATAATAAAGATCACAATAAGAAACAAGATTAAAAATAAAGAAGACCAAAGAGAGTTAATTGTAGAGGAATGATGTATATTAATTGACAATATGGAGAGAAATTACAGTTACATCAATAATGCTTAAACAAATCTGATAGAGGATCCTTTTATTTATAGGCCACATTCCAAATCCTAAAAGAGTTCTAAAAAGTAAGAAAATTTGTTAAAATTAGGTTACAATTGCGCATAGAACTTCAACCGAAAAATGATTTCATTTTCTTATTCAACTTGGATACAATCTTCATTTCTAAGTAAAAATCAAATACGCAATCTCACAAGATTCATAGCCATATTTGAGTCACAAAACCTAACATTACCTTCCTAGACTATTTATTAATGATGAAAAAATAGGATTTTGATTTTAACGAATGATTTGTGATCTTAAGAATTGTATTTTATTTTGAAGATATGTGATTTCACAATACTTAGATGGAAAAAAAATGATTATCAATGTCCATGTCAAGGTATAACGAGTTGATATCGGATTTGGAATGAGTTGTGCTAAAGTATTGATCAATTATGTATTGTTCAAGAAATATTTTCTTTCGATTTAATTCTTCGCAAGTGTACGATTCGTTAACAAGTAATAAAGTGAAATTTAGAGTTCTGAATATAGTCACACAGAGATTGAGTAGCCTAATTTTATTTATCTTGACCTTACCCGAAACAAGAATGTCAAAAGTGATTTTTTTTAGCTTAACTCAATCCTAACCTTAACTAGGTATGCAAATGTGTACGACTTGAATGAATTAAAATGCAAATTGACACTTAGATGAACTAAAGATGCAAATTGAATGTTTGAAATACAAATTAATGAATTCAATGAATGTATAACGCATTAGGATTACGAATCCCCAAACAGTGCTCAATTTAACCCTAATTTTATAATTTTGACAACACGTTGAAATTATGAGGAATTAATGCTCTTGAATCTATCCAACAGTCTCTCTCGAGTAAAGTTGAACCTACTCTCATACACCACCAGTTTATATCTCTATGATGGGTGTAAATATACAAGAATGTATGTAGTTTTGTGAGCACTTAAAGATTCACACAGAGCATAGCTGTATATCTCTATTCTCTATCGGACTCTATGATGATTTATACTTTGTCGAACCTATTTTCCTTCTCTCGAATGCAAGAAATAAGTCACCAAAACTCACACAATTACGGGCACTTAATTGCAGAAGAAATTAAATGCATATAAATCATTCAAAATAATCAAACGTGTTTTAATGTCAAAAATATGAAGCAAGGAATTAAGAATCACATTATAAGATTCATCGATCTCCTAGCACAAAAATTTCTAGCCTAGCATGGAAAACATAAAGGAAAACACGAATTCTTGAAGATAAAATATCACTAGATTATAGATACGCGTGAAATCTTGATAATTTTCGTGAAATCCTTCATTAATCTCCCTCAAATTCGTTTCCAAGATGTGTTTTGTTCTCCTTCAATGCGTTCCCTCCCAAAATATGATGGCTCTAGGTTTGTATATTGCGTCCCAATCGAGTTCTAAAAGAGTTATATCAAAAATAGGAAATTGTAGGATCGGTCCCAGATTTTGGTCTATACGACCGCATAGTACAAATCTATGCGACCTCATAGTTATGCCAAAATGCCCACTTGAAGTCTTTGAATACTACAATGCGACCGCATATATTTTGAACTATGTGACCGCATAGTTCAAACACTTTTTTCGCTAGACAGTTTTTAGTATTTTGGTCATAACTTTTTCGCTCGATTTTCGATTGAAGTGATTCAAAGTGCATTAGAAATATAACTCAAAGATATACAATTTTGATAGAAATAGGCTTTCTCAAATTCAGATGTTTATTATGCCAAAAATGAGTCTCAAGTAGAGACTAAAAATCTCGAGCATAGCTTTGTCGTCTGAAAGTTGATACGTGATAATACTTCGACCATATTTCACCTCTTTAACTCCTTTTCTCATCCAATTGACCTCTAACACTCTTGAATCTTCATTCCATCGCCCGTCTCATCTATGGACTTGGTCCCTGAACTTTCATTTTTTATTTTTTTTCATTTTTGCCATTTTTCGCATCTTTTCTCTTGAGTTCCATTATATCTATCAATATGACCCTATAACATGAAATTGCATAGAATTAAGTCATTATCAATCAATTTTATCAATAATTAGTCATATTTTGTGAATCGAATAAGTGTGTAAAAACGTACTTATCATGTAACATTATTAATGACTAAACACTTTGTGATCAATTTGAAGTTTTATGTAAACGTCAGTGACCATTTGTAAAATCAACTCAATTGAACGTTGAAAGGTAAATGGTCAATGCTGACTTGGGTTGATAAGTGAAGAAAGAAAAATTAAGTGATTAAAGTCCACTCATTGCGGAAAGCTTTTTGCCATTGAATAAAAGAGGATAGTGGGGCTTATTCTTTTGAATCATTGCACCATTTTTTTTTCTTTGCTCGTTTTGTATCATCATTGTTAAAAAGCAAAGAGAAGACGAAGAAACATTTAAGCTGAATTGGTCAAACCGCTTCTTTTGAGAAAATGTCAGTTCAAATCACGCACATTTCTAATGTTTACCCCATCTATTTTGAGTATTGTTGTAGCATATTGTCCGATAATCAACACCAGAACATCTTATTAGAGAAAGAGATGTAAGTTCGTGTTTGAACCATATTTTTTAAATAAAATAATTTTGTACTTAAAATTAAAAAAAATTTCAAACTTTTTAACCGTGTATTCTCTAAGCAATCACTATTACAAAATTTATTTTTCCAAAAAATGGGGCTCAGACAAATCCAAAGTTGTGTGATTAACATCCAGTTTGGTGACCATTATCTAACCAAAATGAGTTTTATAATAGTAAATTTTTAGAGAGCGAGTGGTCAAAATGTAAGAATTTTTGAAATATATGTGCAAAGTATTTTATTGTGAGAATGTATAATTGAAAATGAATTTGAAAAAAGAAATTTGAAATAATAAAAATCAAACAGGAGCTAATACAATTCGATCTTGAAGTTTTTAATCCAACAAGTTTTTACTTAAGATGTGGTGGACATTGTTCAGCATGCCTATATTACATGAGCTGACACAATTCTAGCATATTTTTATTTTGTGATAATTTTGTGTGTGTGTGTATATATATATATTTTTATTTTATTTTATTTTATTTTATTTTATTTCAAAAGCAGTACATTGCTACGGTGGATCAAAGCTCTATAGTCAGCTTTAGCAAAGCTCAACTCTAGAGGCAACTCGATCGACAATATGGACATTTTTCTAGTTTACCTCAATCATGGGCACGAATCTAAAACAGTGGATAGAAATGGAGGCTAGCTTACCTTAATGGAGTTCAACCCTCCAACATGCTATCCAATGATCAAGTTTAGTTGGACCATTTTTCGGGTTCAGAATTCTATAAATTTTTTAACAATTGCGCTACAATGACGGAATTTTTTTGACAGAGGAGGTGACCGACTCTCACAATGATGACACACATTTTTTTTGGGGGGACTTTGTTATTCATATGCGACCCACGGCATGTAAGAGCATGTCAACCATTCGGGCAAAACAGCAAAATTCAATTTTTATAGCATTTCCTAAATTCATTCAAGTACAATATAGTAAAGTTTTGAAATTTTCTAATATCATTTAGACACTCA